TTCCTGAGGACCTGGGTTCAAAGGTGGCTCACAACCTTTTAACTCCAATTTCAGGGGATCCGACCTCCTCTTCTGACCTCTGCAAGTACCAGGAACACCCATGTTTCACAAAGAGGCATACATGCCAGCGAAACACTCAGACATTTTTTCAAAAGCATCTAGTGAAAACTTACTAATTCAGAAAGGAAGTGTTAGCATAGAACAGGAAAAAAGAAATAAAGAAATAAAGAAATCAGGGTACTTGGGAGGCAGAGGCAGGTGGATCTTAGTGAGTTTGAAATCGGTGTGGTCTACAAGAGCTAGTTCCAGGACAGGCTCCAAAGCTACAGAGAAAAACCCTGTCTCGAAAAATCAAAAGAAAAAGAAAGAGAGAGAGAGATCAGTCATAGGATATGAGGTGGTTACATTCACTGGAGGATCGTGTGTGTGTGTGTGCAATGCACATGCATGTTTGTGTGCTTGTGCATGGGCCTGTTAGCATATGGCAATGCCTGTATATGGAGGGCAAAGGTCAATGTCATGTGTTTTCCTACGTTATTTCCCACGTATATTTTTTCAGTCAGACAAGCCACTGGCCAGTGGGTCCAGGGTTTCGCCTGTCTCCATTTCTCCAGAGCCTGGATGACAGGTACATACCACCATGCCCAGCTTTTATGTGGGTGCTGGGGATCCGAACTCCGGTCCTCATGCTTGCCCGGCCATTTCCCAGCCCCACTCAAGCATGTTTTCAAGGTCTGCATGCTCTGTGTGTATGGGTACTCTGCTGCAGGTGTGTCTGCACACGAGTGCAGTGCTTGCAGGACAAAGCAATGCTAGTCTTCTAATGTGGGGTTACAGATGGCTGCTGGCTTCCACGTGGGCCCTCTCCAAGAGCACCAGGGGCTCTCACTGCTGAGCCACCTCCCAAGCCCTCCAACAGCTTTCACGTTTACTCTGAGTGCATGCGTGTTTTGTGAAAGGATGTCTGTGCATCATGTGCGCACCTGGATCGCTGAAGGCCAGAAGAGGGACTGGAATTACAGAGGCTGTGAGCTGCCATCTAGAGGCTAGGAACTGAACCCACGTCATCTAGAAGAACAGCCAGTGCTCTTAACCACCGAACCATCTCTCTAGCCCATCAAATATATTCTTAGTGAAAGACAAGTTATTATAAAAAAAAAATCTGACTTAAGGTTTTACTGTTGTTGCTTGAGATAGGGTCTTATGTTGTCTTCCAGCTGGCTAGAACTTGCTATGTAGATCAGGCTAGCCTAAAAATTCAGGTATCTGTCCACCTCTGCCTCCTTGAGAACTAAGATTAAAGGTATGCACTACCATATCTGGCTTAATATATTTATTTATTTTCTCACCTGGGCTTTATTAGGGTCCTTCTTATTTCAGTTCGTTATAAGATAGGCTCTTACAGCCAGCCAGGTGGTGGTAGCGCATACCTTTAATCTCAGCATTAGAGAGGCAGGGGCAGGTAAATCTCCGTGAGTTTTACCAGGCTAGCCTGGTCTACAAGTCAGGACAGTCAAGGCTATTACACAGAGAAATTCTGTCTCAAAAAACCAAAAACCAAAACAAAACAAGCAAACAAACAAAAAAAGATGGGCTCTTACTACTATTCCAGTCCTTTCTAGAAACCAGCAGTGGCCAGCTGGCCTTGACGTCATGGTCCTGCCTCAGCCTCCTGAGTGCTGGGGTCCTTGTTATGAGTAATAACATGATTTTCACTGAGAATGGTGCTTGACTCCGAGAAGAAAGTGTGCTCAACATGAAGTACTCAGCAAACACCTTAGCACAAGATAATTAGCATCAAGGTGGTTACCATAGGCTCAAGCAATCCTCCTGCCTCAGCGTACTAAAGTAGTTAGGACTATAGATAAGATACAATCAGGTCATGACCTAAATTACTCAAAAAAATTTCCCCCAGCACTTGAGAACAGAGGCAGGCTGATCTCTCTGAATTCCTGGCCAGCCTGATCTAAATAGTGAGTTCCAGGACAGCCAGAGCTACGTCCCCCCAAAAGCATAAATAACAACAATAATAATTTAAACAAAAAAAAACACGTAACATAATTTTGTTGTAGGAACTCCTTCACCTAATAGCTTTTAGATGCCGGCCCATTGTGGGCATGGTCTGAGGTACAGACGAAAAGTGTGCAAGAGACCCTTTTGTTGCTGGATTGCTCCCAGCTTCCCGCGTCCACAGAGGACTGCGAATCTCTACCCTTACTGTGAGTTTTACCCCCAAATAAATAAACCTTTATCATACTCCATTCTGGGCTGTTGTGGAACTCTTTAATACTCCTACGTTTTGGTGTCCATGTGGCCTGAGCCCCACTCCCATGCAGCTGAACTACCGCTCCTGCTGCCCCGCCACTGCACCCCTCCTCTGGCCGCAACTGTGCCCCTCTTGCTGGTTTGCCTGTGTGGCCACGCGTGTTTCCCCTTGCTGGTTTGCCTGTGTGGCCACATGTGTTCCCCTTGCTGGTTTGCCTGTGTGGCCACGTGTGTTCTCCCCTTGCTGGTTTGCCTGTGTGGCCAAGTGTGCTCTCCCCTCACTGGTTTGCTTGTGTGGCCACGTGTGCTCCCCACTCTCTCATTTGCCTGGGTGGCCATGTGTGTTCCCCCCTCACTGGTTTGCCTGTGTGGCCACGTGTGCTCCCCCTCACTGATTTGCCTGTGTGGCCACGTGTGCTTCCCCCCTCTCTCATTTGCCTGGGCGGCCATGTGTGTTCCCCCCTCGCTGATTTGCCTGTGTGGCCACGTGTGCTCCCCCTTGCTCATTTGCCTGGGTGGCCACGTGTGCTCCCCCTCCCCTGCCCCACCAATCCACCTGTGCTCATGCTGCTGCACACAGCTTGGCTTGGTTTCCTGCAGCAACTGTGACCCGCAGTGGCCCTGGACTGCTTTGGCGGTACAACTCTGACACCTGCTGACCAGCATCCTTACACCTTAAAACCTCAATAACAACTTGTAACAGAGGTAAGTCATCTGATCTTAGATTGCAATTTGTAAACCAGCCCCAAGACAACTGCAGGCAATATCAGCGTCCAGGAATTTAACAACCTTTCATTCCTGCTATGGATGGGTTCCTGGAAGAGCTGTATGACCTACCTGGGACATAAACATTCTTAGCCATAACAGTTTTTAGTTTGGTTCTTTATACTATATCCTTAAAGAAATGGTTTGATAACAGAGTCCAGAATGAGAAACTTTTAGAAATGATACAGTTTTTGCAGACTGGTAATGAGAAGTTAGCAGAAAGAATGCATACCATTGAAAGTGGTAACTATAATTTGACAGGCAAATTTCAACCCATGTCAATGCGTTATGAAGCCTTACAAAATGGTCCTGAGAGGTTATCTAAGAGGATTCATACTGTTGAAACTGACAGTCAAAATCTGTTAAAAAAAAAGTTATGATAAGCCAGCAGACAGAACATCCCTCCTGGAAGGCAATCTGCACGCCATCCAAACAATATCTAAGGGTAAGAAGATGCCATTAATGGAAAAACTTAAAAACCTGGAATCACATGTGCAGAATAAGAACCAGAAATCAATTGATTTGATGAAATCATTATAAATATTCACAGGTCAAGAGATTCAGACTTTACAAAAGACAGTGACAGAAAGATGTGAATGGACTGAGGAACTGGTCAGAGCTGGTAACAAGGAGAGGAGGTGCAGGGAAAGGACGGGAGTAAAGACTCAGCATCACCAGCACCAGCACATAGTAAGAGAGGACTGACCAGGAGTGTTAGCTACTTATCCTGTCACTACCTCTCAAAAGCCAGCAAATACTCAATACCCAAAGGATACACTGAATGTAATTGGGAGCCTACACGTGTGAAATTGGGAGCCTACACGTGTGAAATTGGGAACCTATACGTATGAAAGATCCAAAAGATATTAAGGAAGCCGTAGTTGCTTATGGCATGCATTCACAATACGTGAGGCGGTTGGTGAAAACATGGGCTTCAAGAAATAAGGTCACTCCACATGACTAGCTTCAGTTAGCCTCAGCTGTATTTGACCATGGGCCACAAAGAGGAGATCCTATTACTTAGGTTATAATTTTACAGAAAATCAGACCTCAAAAGGCACAAATTAGGAGAGATCAATTGCAGTCTCTTAATGACTTCCAAACATTGCTAGGAGACACTTCCCAGCTACGGTCCACTCTTGGGTTAAACCTGATGACCTGATTAATTTAAACAAAACCTTTGATGGGGACAAAGATTTAAATAGTTCCAGGGAATTATCAGCTGAAGCTAAGAGAGAATTGACTTTCATTAAAGAGAAATTACACAAGGCACATGTGAATCTTAGCTGTATTCTGGTGATGTTTCCCTCCAAGTATTTCCCTACAGGAATTTTAAATATTATCTTAGAATGGATCTTTTTACCACATAAACTGAGTAAAAAATTAAAAACTTATGTGGAAAAGGTGTCTGAGTTATTTCTAAAAGGAAAATTGAAATTTCATCAATTAGCAGGAATAGACCCAGCAGAAATTATAATACCTTTTACTAATGATGAAATTCTCAAATTATGGGAAGACAGTGAACCCTGGCAAAGAGCTTGTAGTAATTGTTTGGGAGAGATCAACAACAACTATCCCAAAAGCACTGTGTAGGTGCTCAGAATGAAACCTGAGTTCTCTGCAAAAGCAACAAGTATTCTTAACCACTAGGCTATCTCTGCTGCTCCAACCCCCTCTTCCTTCCCATATTTCAAGCTTAAGAGGAATTTACAGAAAGAAACAACGTTAAATCATTCCTTTCTTCAAAAATTCATTCACAAAACCTCTTACTCTCAGCACTTCTGAGCTCCAGACCAGCCTGGTTTATGAGTTCTGGCCAGCTAGGGCTACAGCGGACACTTTTTCTCCTTGGATATTTCATAAGATATTTCTCACTTAATGCTTAATACATAAGATGCTTCAGCAAATGATTTCATTATATAAAAGAAAAACCCACAGGCTTCAGAAATCCACAAAAACCTCTACCTTACCTGTATCATTTGCAAGGGAGTTAGGGTCAGACCCTCCAAGGGTCGCTTCAAACTCCTCCTGCAGACGATAGGCCCTCTGCAGCAGAGCTTCAAGTTTGTGGATGAATTCCGTGCTAATTATATCCTATGAGGACAGAAGAATCACAGGAACATGGTAACTGTGACACTCAATGTTAACAATCCGGACACAGAAACCTGCCTTCTAATGAGAAACTTGTGTGTAGATAGAGCTGGTGCTGGGATCATAAAATTTCAGACATATCTATTTTTTTTTTGTAATAGAGAGGAAGAACTGCTGATCTGGGTCCTGCTGATCATTTAAGTAGACTAAGCATTTTCAGACTTGATCATATAGAATTGCCTAGAGCATTTGCTAACTTAGATTTAGGGGCCCTTGTCCCGGGCTTCTGATTCTGCAATCCATTCCAATTTGAAATGATCAATAAAGACTGAGTTCAACCTCTGTATTAGAAAAACAATAGAAATCAATTGTGTCTGCTGCTTCTGCCCATCCTGAGCTGGAGAGTGGGCTCAGCACTAAGAGCACATGGTGCTCCTGCAGAGGACCTGCCCTGCCTGGCTTTGCTTCCAGCACCTGCATGGCAGCTCACCACCAGTAGAGTTTGCTACTCTAGTCCCAGAAGACGCAACACCCTCTTCTGACCTCTGCAGGCAGCAGGCACACTCATGGTACACATTCATACATGCAGGAAAAAACTTATCCATATAAAATAATGAAACAATTTTTAAAAAACCAAAAGTGCGAGGGCTGGAGAGATGGCTCAGTGGTTAAGAGCACTGGCTACTCTTCCAGAGGTCCTGAGTTCAATTCCCAGCAACCACGTGGTGGCTCACAACCATCTGTAATGAGATCTGGCGCCCTCCTCTGGTGTGGGGGCATACATGGAGGGAGAATGTTGTATACACAATAAATAAATAAATAAATCTTAAAAAAAAAAAAAAAACCAAAAGTGCTTAAAAGCTTGGATAGAAATGCTCAGCGAGAAGCCCCTCATGCTGAGCACAACCCCAGGCCTGGGGAAGCAGTGGCAGACAAGCCGGGTGTTTCAGATCAGCCTGGTCTACTAAGAGTCCTAAGCCGGCAGGGGCTACATAGGGAGACCCTCTTTCAAATCAAAACAAAACAAACCCCCAAAGTCTCCCATGTAGTCCCAATTTGGGAAAGCAAAGAATGTGTAGTAACTGCCCGAAAAGAAGCCCTTCTGAGAACCGGAAGCAGAATGTCCTTACGTCCACGCTTTCTTCAGCAATGGCATCTCCGGCTCCCAGCTTAACAGAGCCACAGGCCTCCTCTTCTGCCTGTCTACTGCGGAAGGTCAGCGCTTGTTCCCATCGACGCAACGCCTCTTCAAACAATTCCATACCTAAGAATTAAGAGCGGAATGACTGTAAATGGGGAAAATCATGTTTCCTTAACATGTAACATCAAAAACAGAAACTGGAAGGAAAGCCAGCTACAGGGAGTGATTATCGCTGTTGTTTGTAGGCTTGAGGAGGAATCTGTTTACAGCTACAGGCTAAAGATGCCCTCAGATGCTGTGAGGAGAGCTTAATGGTCCATTCTGGAGGAAGCGTGGAAGAATGCAGACAGAAATGCAGCCAATGGACGCAGCCTCCTGAGTTTCCAGAGAGAAAAGGACTCTGTTGGGAACTGTGCAAAGGGCTATTGACCTTACATGCTGATGGAAGACCTGTTACTCTTTGGCCATGTCGTGAGAACTTTTGTGAGGCTGAATTAATTCATAATGAACTAGCATGGTGTAGTGGGACACGCCTTTAAGCCCAGGACTTGGGAGGTAGAGGCAGGTGGATGAGTTCCAGGACAGCCAGAGGTTCATATTGAGACCCTGTCTCAAACAATAACAAGATGTAATAAACCAGAGGTTCAAGTAATGGCCCCATGGCCTGGCTCAGTTCTTCCCAGAAGTAGCTATGACAAGAACAGGAGAGCAGATGCAGCCTGGCTGTTTCCAAGAGTGGGAAAATATTCGGAAGTGAACCAACCCCTTTCTGCCCAGTCAGTCCCTTCCCTGCTTGAAGGCCAAACCATGTGCGCATTTTTGGGCACAGCTGCTACCTAGCATGAACCTCTACTGAAGGGAACACAGCTTGGCATGAGGAGAGAAGCAGGCTGAAGGACCCGGTCCACATCAGGAGCAGCTGGTCCCCAACACTCAGTCAGCTTCCAAGTCATTCATGCTTGTGAAGTCAAGAGGGCTACTCAGCTATTAAATATGTGTTTTTTTTTCCTACTTGGTGGTTTTTCTGGATAAAGGACACACTGACATCCAGACAAAAGAGACTAAATAAATCAGGTCCTGAGGCCGACCCTAGTTGAGAGTCAAAAGATTAGAACAGGTTAGCATATGAGGCTGAGTGAAGGCACCCAACACATCAGGTCTTTGCTTCTGGAACCTGGGTTCTCTCATAAGGAAGGGTCTTTGGAGATGTGGCTAAGATCAGGGTGTCCTCGAGAGGCTGCTTTAGAATACATGGTAAATCAAATCACAAGTACAACGGAGGGGTTTGGGCAGATGGGACACACCAACGAGAGTGTGATGTGGAGAGCCATGTAAAAGAGTGATGTTACAACCCCAAGGAATGATGGGAGCCATGAGACACTGGGAGAAGAAAGAACCAAATTCTCTCACAGGTCTCCCAAAGAAATGTGACAGTGGGGGAAGCAGCATAGACTCAAACTTGTCCCTCTGAATGTGGGTGACAGTTGTATGGCTGGGGCAGACTGTGGGGCCACTGGCAGTGGCACCAGGATTTATCCCTACTGCTTGAACTGGGTTTTTGGAACCCATTCTCTTTAGAGGGAGACCTTGCTCAGCCTGGATGTAGTGGAGAGAGCCTTGGTCTTGCCTCAAAGCAATGTGCTAGACTTTGTTAACTCACCATGGGAAGCCTTACCCTCTCTGAGGAGTGGATGGGGTGGGGATGAAGGTGGAGGAAGCAGAAAGAGGGGAGAGAGTGGGAACTGGAATTGGTAGATAAAATTTCAACTAGAAAGAAATGTGACTGAATTGACACCTTGATTTCATCTCAGTAATAATGATTTTGGACTTCTGGCTTCAGAACCCTGAGTGAATTGTTGTTTTTTTTTTTCTAAGTCTCTGTGTTTATGGTAATTTATTATATTACCCTCAATAAACTAATACAGCTGGTGGTGTTATATAGCACGGATTCAACAGACATGGGTCATTTTAAAATTACAGTTGATTCTCTTAGAGGAAATCACTGTCTTTGGTTTTGTTCCCCCCGCCCAACAATGCTGGGGATCAAACCAGGACACTAAAAGGCCATCCCTGCTCTTGGCCACCGAGCGCCTCTCCAGCCCCCACCTTCAGATGGAAGCTGAGGGCAGTACCTAGAGCTCTGGGGTTCTGTACCCACCCATCAAGTACAAGTTCTCTGGGGTGGTCACCGGGATGTTGACAAGCTTCATGTCATCCTCGTCTGCTTTGTCCCACGAGTTAGAGTTCCCACAAGCACAGCTATGGCAGGAGTTGACACTCTGGACCTGAAATGAAGACCAAGGGAAGTGGATCATCACACACACTCGCCC